GGCTTGAGAGTTCCATTTACAATGTAACGCCCCAAGATTTTTTATCATCCCGAAATAGGGACTAATACTAAAACAAACCAAAAAATTTCACTTACTTAAGAGAGATAAACCATTAACCACTAAGGTCTCATTCATTAGAGCAAAAATTCATCACGCTCTCGCTGTGATACTCTAATTATCAACACTTACAACAACTCACACATGAAAAACCAATAATTAAAGAATCAACCAAACACCCAATCCTTTAAAGTTAAACAATCCAATAACATTACCCAAACTTAATAGGCTTCTCAACGAAAACAAGGACCTAACCTTTACAGGAATCAAAACTTTGAAAATAATCAACTGATATATTCTACTAACACCATGAACGTTACACAAACCAATGCTCAAAACATAATACATAAACTGAAACGAAGTAACTTCTAGCAACCTATCCTATCCCAATAAATCTAAACGAAACCTGGCCATGGTCTTTCTTCTTGAATCTCCTCTACAACATCACCAAATGCATATGCCTCATCAATACCTGCAAAAATCTAGAGGGAAAAAGGAAGGGATGAGTACAACAACTAGTACTCAATAAGCAACCCTTACCTAAAAGGTCACACACAAACAATATGCTTACAGCAACAAAACATCATGCTCACTATTAATATCATGCTTAAAATAATTGGAACTAGTTGGCGTTCGACCCTTGACCACGAACAACCAAGGTCTCAAACTATGCATCGACCCTTGACGTTTTGTACCAAGGTCTCGACGACTACTCAACGTATTGGTCCTTGACCGCTACCACATCAAGACCCAATACTCATCCAACAACTACACCCATCGTGCCGGCCCCCGACCTTTTTTACTCGAAGCGTTAGCACTCATCTTTACCAAAGTTGGCATATCGACCCCAACCTCTATTCCCTGAGCTTGATACCTAACTAATGACGTGCCAACCCTCTGGGCCCGTTACTCATCCATTCACTTCATTACATCTAAAAAATCTCACCAAAGTCCTACATGCTTCTAAGCCATGACCTATGTTGAAATCAACTCACAACAATCCTGCATGCTTCATGCTTCATGCACGAAACAAATGCAACTATCATTCAACTTGAGATAACCTAGCATGCTTCCACAACACAAATAGATATATATATACCACAAAAGAAAACCCAATCAACGATATATCCAACATTTATCCAACATGCTTGATATGAACCAAGGAGCTACCGTTGTTATGCCTCATGGACCGATTACAAGATCGAGAGCTAGGAAACTTCAACAAGCTTTGCTACTTCATGTCCAAGYRTTCTTRAACTCGACARGMGAAATAAAGGAAGATGTGCAAGAAGTTAGAACTATGCACTTCAATTTGGTGCAAGTTATGCATTTTTAAGTGTTTTTATGGCAAGTTAAAGTCCACTTGGTCAAGGTCAAAGTCAACTCCATCAAGACAAGTCAAAGTCAACTCATTCAATTCAAAAACCAAGTCAAACACTCACATCCCTCATTATGGACGGGATTGCAATTATTTTGGTTGGCTTTCCATGTTCTTAACCTTTTCATTTGCTTGTCTTTTCATTTCTCGTAAGTTATGTCTTTTCATTTACAAGTCTTTTCATTTCTTGTAAGTTACAAGTCTTTTCATTTGCTTAAGACTTTTCATATGGCTTGCTAGGATGGCTATATATAGCCTTGAGATGTCTTGTTGTAACACAATTTGAAGTTGAATGAAAACTGAGTTTTTTCATTAGCTTGGTTGAGAGATTTATCTCCTATTTCTTGTGCAATTTCTTGTGTCTTTAGAATTTGCATGTTAGGATCATTCAAGCGGTGTTGATCATACCTCTTGTGGAGTGATTCGAATCACGAGTTTAGGTGTACGGTTGTTTTATTTATTTAAGAATGTTAGCCACTGAGGCGAATATGAGATGTCTTTGTTTTTAAATTGCCCACGGAGAGCGAAGTTTTGACAGTTTATAAAATTGATATTTCTGGTGGAACTTAGGGGAGTCGAAGCTTTATTTCATTTAAATTATTTCCCAGGGAGTTGATTATCTCGTTTTTAGAGTTAAGGCTAGACAGGTGAATTATTTAGCGTTGCCTAGGATGGTATATAACATCTTGGGGCGTTACAAATATAACAATAGCAACATTTATAAATTAATGTCAACTGCAAGCACTCATGCAACTAATGCCCATAGGCAAACAAGCACAAAAACAAGTCACACATCAAAGCACAAACATCCCCACAAGTAAGAACTACTTAAAAACAAAGGTTTTAACACGCTACTAAGCTTTGTCGAAGGGGTTCCTAAATCCAAAAACAAGCAAACTTGGGTTAGAGTTCATTTAAAAACACTTAACTTTAATCGAAACCAAGTTTAGCTGAGTCGTTACCGACTAACTCACACTTAGTCCTTTTGGTTTAGGAGTGGGTCGGCACCGAGGAGGTAGGGCTCCCAAATCCGAGTTCGAATTAGCATAGGAATGTTGGTCCGATGCTGAAAAGCGATGGGTAACAATGATTTGGGTCTAAATAGGGGTGGGTCAATGCCAAACCAACATCGAATCGGGCTTTTTTTGGGTGTGGGTCAATGCCGAAGATAACGCCACAATTCTTGGATGTTGCCGCTGCTACTGTAAGATTTCGATAAGAACGCGCCACTGCCAGTCTGCTGCAACCTTGAGTTCGTGGGTTGCTGCCATCGAAACGAAACACAAAGACGTCAAGGGTCATGGTCGCTTGATCTGTAGAGAATGCTAATGGAGGCGCCGTGAAAATGCTAGAGGGATCGCGACTACTATAGAGGAAAACGCTCAGGCCCGTGAGCTGCCGCCATTGCAAAATTGATTGCGCTTTCGTGGACCGCTTGATAGAAACGAAGATGCTGGAGGGAGGGGCTACCATCAGGAGGAGACGACGTCTGTTGTTCCCATTGAAGGGACTCGTTAGAAAATGCTGAATTGCGGGTTGATCGACGCGCCGTGCCGGTGGGATGCTGTTGTCGCTGTGGGTGTTGCTAGAGCTAGGGTGGCTGGCAATATAAATCGAGGCGGAGGGGCTGCTACGGAAGGAGGAAGAAGCAGAAGAAATAAGGTGGGAGTGGGTGACGACTATGGCAACGAAACCAACTAATACCTGTAGCAATCTTGCTTTACCTGCACCAACATAATCAAAATTTAGTTTCCGCATTGCCCAAAAAGATCTATGTTCTAATTCTAGTAGAAGATGACCTGCATTACCAAAAATAATGTGATTAGGGGACATTCCTAATAGAGTTTTATAAGCAGTTATATACCCACAAAGCATCATCAAGTTTAATAGCCCAGTCCTTCCTATTCACGTTTACAGACTTTTCCAAAATCGACTTTATTGCTCTATTGGATATCTATGCTAATCCATTAGTTTGAGAGTGATAGGTAGTAGCAATATTATGACAGATGTTATACTTTTTTAACAAATTACTTACTACTCTATTTAACAAGTACGTGCCCTCATCACTAATCAAGCATCTAGGTGTACCATATCTAGTGAAAATAAACTTTTGTAAGAAGAGAGAAACTACCTTGGCATCGTTAGTCGGGGTGACCAAAGCCTCAACCCATTTCGAAACATAGTTAACAACCAAGAGAATGTAATTCTTACCGAATGAAGGCGGAAATGGACCCATGATGTCGATGCCCCAAACATCGAACAACTCGATTTCCAATATTGGGTTTAAAAACATCTCATGTTTCCGTGTCAAGTCGCCTGATCTTTGACATCGGTCACAACTTTGAGGGAATATGTGAGCATCTCAAAATAGGAACGGCCAAAAGAAACCACTTTGGAGGACTTTCACTGCAGTTTTACGTCCAGCGAAATGTCCGCCATATGGTGATTTATAGCATGCCTCCAGAATATCCTTCTGTTCATGCTCAGCAATACACCTACGAAGAATATTGTCAAGTCCCAACTTAAACAAGAAAGGTTCATCCCATCTATAAAACCTAACGTCATGAAAGAACTTAATAATCTGGTGCTTACTTAAGTAATTGGGAATTATATTGCTAACCAGATAGTTCGCAAAATCAGCATAACCAGGGGACTTAGGAAATAGCTAACAGATGCTCATCCACAAAATGCTCTCTAATCTCACAACTATCATGCTGCAAAGAACACCATGGCCTAGATAAATTATATGCTACTTGGTTTTCTGGTCCTTTCCTATATTTTATCTCTAAATCAAACTCTTGTAGCAATAATATCCATCCAATTCACCTAGGTTTGGTTTCTTTTTTAGCAAACATGTATTTTAATGTAGAGTGATCTGGTAAAATTATCACCTTTGTCCCAATAAAATATGAATGAAATTTATCAAATGCGAAAACAACAGCTAAAAGCTGTTTCTTAGTCACATTGTAGTTTAACTGACTACTATTCAAGGTCTTACTTGCATAATAAATAGGACGAAGAGCTCTACCTTTTCACTGACCCAACATCGCACCAACTAAAAAATCATCACACATTGGTGAAAATGGCAAGTTCCAATCTAGTCCAATTATAATGGGTGATGAGCTAAGTGCATCCTTAAGTGTCTCAAAAGCTTTCAAACAATTTTTATAAAAAATCAAGAGTCGATCTATCTCTAACAACTGAAATAAATATTTAGAAAATTTTGCAAGATCTTGTATAAAACAGCGGTAGAAACCCGCGCGTCCTAATGTATTTCTAACATGTTTTACAGTAGTGCGAGGGGGTACTTTGGCAATCAAGTCTATTTTAGCCTATCGACCTCAATTCCTTTTCCTGAAATTTTGTGATCTAAGACTATACCTTCACGTACCATAAAGTGGCACTTCTCCCAATTAAAAACAAGGTTAGTCTCTTCACACCTTTTTAAAACATTCTCTAAATTCTCTAAACAAACTTTGAACGACTCACCAAACACAGAAAAATCATCCATAAATATTTCTACTGTGCTTTCTACTATGTCAGAAAAAATAGCGGTCATGCATCTCTAGAAGGTGGCGGGAGCGTTACGAAGATCAAACGACATCCTCCGGAACGCAAATGTCTCATAGGGACACGTGAAAGTGGTCTTTTCTTGGTTCTCTGGAGCTATTGTAATCTGTTTGTAACCAGAATACCAGTCGAGAAAGCAATAGCACTCATTCCTTGCAATACGATCAAACTTTTGATCAATAAAATAAACTGGAAAATGCTCTTTTCGAGTTACCTTATTTAGGCGACGGTAGTCCATGCACATTCTCCAACCAGTCACCATCCTTGTTGGGATCAACTCGTTGTGATCGTTGGAAATCACCGTCATACCACCATTCTTAGGAATGCATTGAACCGTGCTAACCCAGCTGCTATCTGAAATGGGGTATACCCCAGAGTCTAACCATTTTATTACCTCCTTCTTGACCACCTCTTTCATTTTGGGTTGAGCCTCATTTGGCTCTCGATAGAATTGGTGGCTCATTCTTCTAGGATGATTTTGTGCATGCAAAAAGTTGGGGTAATTCCTCGTATGTCCTCTATGGTCCATCCAATAGTCATCTTGTACTTAGACAAAACCTGCAAAAATAAATATTCATGTTCATTAGACAAATACGAAGAAATGATAACCGGCAAAGTGTTGATTAAATCTAAATAGGCATATTTTAAATGAGAGGGTAGGGGTTCCTTCTCCAATTCTGGAGGTTCAATGTTGGAAGGTTGCAAGGCTTTTAAATCAGCTATTGTTGGCTGCAAAAACTCGAAATGCTCAATTTTTCGCTTCTTTTTATGCAGCCTCCAAATCTGCTTCTAAGTCTTTCACAATCATCTCCTTCAGTTCGTCCAAAGTTGCCCTATTGCAAAACATTCCTCGACTTCATCTGGGAGCCGCATCGCATCAAGGACATTGAAGGTGACTTGCTCATCATTGACCTTCATAGTGATCTCTCCTTTCCGAATGTTAAATACCGTGTCTCTAGTTGCTAAAAACGTCCTCCCAAGAATAATCAGAAACTCCAATCCAAAATTATGAAATCAGCAGGAAAAATAAACTTATCAACCTTAACAAGCACTTCAATTTTCCCTTCTGGATTCTTTATGGACCTATGTGCTGGTTTCAAAGTTGCGGTGGTGGGGCGTGCTTCTCCTATATCTAACTCTTTAAGTATTGAAAGGGGCAGAAGATTAATATTTGCTCCTTATGTTGGGTGTGTTGCCCTAAACTCGTAGTTTGTATTTTGTAAAAACAAATGTCTATTTAATAAAGTTTTATTCGATAAATTTGTTGTTGAATCATAGCTTTGCATTGTCCAAAATCCAATAAACTAATCATCCAAGGTTATTTTTGTTGTAATCGGGACAATATATATACTGGGTATATAGTTAATATACGGGGTATATATATTTGATATACCCCTGATATATGAATGGATAATATCCCGTGAATAACCTATAGGGTCTATAGTATATGGATAAGGCTGGGTACCTTATCCTGGCAACACTATGGATACAACCCACTCTGTAAAGGTTACAGACGACTCGATCCAGGTCGTTCGTGTGGAGACATGCGAGTGGGGGTATCCTGTACAATGAGTTTGTATAAGACCAGACCGCGAAATAGGCAATCTTTAGGTGTAACACCGTTAACTAATAGATTGCTATTTCTTAGGATGACCAGGCAACTCATTCTCAATCCTGAGTGAGTTATGGACTCCTGCCCGTGAGGGCTCGTCCTTTGATCTGTATGGGTGAGAGTGGCCTGAGTCGCCGACTCAATATTCCTACCATTTTGGGGACGAGACCGAGTGGGGAGCTGGGAACATAACTTCACAAGATGGAATTCACTCCTCTCCGACTTTAGGGGAGTAGATGAGTGTTCCCTTAAATGCTGACTCCGGGACTTGAACAAGGGGCCCCACCCTCTCATT